GGCCCAGGCGGGAGCCATTGACTGACCACGGGCGTAGCTCCTCATGCGACTCTGTGCACGACGACGACCTTCAACACACGGTGGATGGGGACGGGGGTCCACGGATGGAGGACGAGGAGGCGGTTCCAGCGACGGAGGATGAGGAGGCGGCGACGGTAGGGGTTCCACTTCCTCTGGTACGTCGAAGCCCTACCAGCGAGGTCCCGCAAAGCTCCCGAAGTGACCGATACCTGTTGAGAGGCGCCTAGTGATTGCACCCGAGGGCGATAAGTAAGTAACTTCATATGTTCTTCATTTGATATGTTGAAAAATCATAATAACAACTAATAACTATTGTGGACCACTTGTGCATGAACTGGGTGCTTGTGGACCAGGCGGCCCCGGCATGCAATGTGATTGGCATCCTAGGACTTTTGTGCAAGGAACACTTCCCTGGCCTGGTTAGGAAAGGAGATCAGGATTGGGAGCCGGCCTGGACGTTCGACCACTATGCCCTCATGCAGGATGCTCCAGATCATAATGGCATCCGCTATAGAAACAAGGCAGATCGGGTGATTAGGGAGTTGTGGGTAAGTCTTTCTTGCACTACATTCCTCAATTCCTCACATTCATTAGACATTCTTGAAATAAAATAATGGATACCTCGTGTCTTTATGCAGAACTTCTTCAGAATCTAGAAGGGACAGGAGGAAAGTGCGTATCAGGTGGCTTACGCTTCCTGTAAAAGGCGTGTCACGGACTTGCACTACGAGTCCCGCCTCTAGGCCCACATAGACTACAACGCCAAGTTCCTACTCAGGCGTGTCAACAAAGAGGAGGCAAGACGGATGACGCTGACAAGGGAGTAGTACATACAGGTAAATACAAAACATGAATATTCATTTCTTTTGAGATTAAGTATGCCTAATTTGATCTTCTGATATGTCGTCTACTTGATGTCCTGTAGGCGATTCCAAGCTAGTGCGCCACCCACCCCGATTGCTGGGAATATATTGTGGACACCTGGTTGGACGAGGACTGGCAAAAGAAGCACGAGGAGGCCCACGACAGGCGTTTGCAGATGCCAGGTGTACCTTACCATCAGGGCAGCCGTAGCCTCAGCAAATATGCAAAGGCATATATAAGTCTCCGCCATTGCTCTAATCTAGCCACGCTCAATTCTGCATCATTTCTAACCACATGTTGTTGTCTTTCTCGTAGTCAGATGCACACGGTGGCCAGCCTGTTGGTCAACTCAAGGAATATGCTCTGGCTCACATGGGCAAGGCGACGACCGACATCGAGTACGACCCAGATGCCCGCTTGAGGCGTACACCAACTCTAGCGTCCACACCCGCCTCTCTTCGTACACGGAGGCGGCAAGGTCAGTCCATGGGCCGGGCTACGATTCGAGAACCGAGGAGCGCCTTGATCCTCAGCTCGTGATGAGGGTGGGGCAAGGAAAGAAGCATGGGCGGTTCTGGATTGGCGACGGCGTCCTCGACACGGCCTCTACTCCTCCTCTCCACCAGCTCCGAGCAGCGAGCATGAGCTCAAGCGTGCCCATACGCCAACGGCCGGCCCATGAGTGTCGGCACTCCCTGTAAGCATTCTGTTTCATTAAATCGTTCTTTGACTTTTACATACCTTACCTATGTATTATTGAAACATTGGGGTCAAATGTTTGAGGCCCAGTGTGAACTGCGCAGGCCGAGCGGGAGGCCGAGCAGCAGAGAGGCTATAGGCTTTGGAGGCCCAAAGCGGGAGCAAGATCGATGGCGAGATGGCCGAGATGATCAAGTTCATGTAGCAAATTGGCCAAGCAACAAGGTTGGGTGATCCCACAGACGTTGCTTGCTCCAGATCCACCTCCACAACGTCCCGATTCTACCCGGTGAGTATAAGTATGAAGTTTTACTTTCTATCTTTGAAACTTAGAGAAACCTAGTGAAACCTAGAGAAACCTAGTCGTAGTGGTGGTGGTGGTGTGGTGGTCATGGTGGTGGTGGTGGTGTGGTGGTGGTGGTGGTCACGGTGTTGTGGTGCTCATGGTGGTGGTGGTGGTGGTCATGGTGGTGATGTGGTGGTGGTGGTGGTGTGGTGGTGGTGAAGTATTGGTGATGGCGGTGATGTGGTGGTGGTGGTGGTAGTGGCGGATATTTATCTTGCATATTTATCTCTTCTCTTGTCGCTCACGTGCAATCTCTTCTATTTTGTGCAGCATCAACCGGGGGCGGCGTCGAACCACCTCGGAGGGTCGCCGGGATCGCACGTTGGGCCATCCCAACCCGGACCGTCGTCGTGAGCTTCAAATGGCAGCCGTTGTGATATAATGCACTTGTGAACTTTGTGAACTATGCTTGTGTGTTTGGACTTTGGACTTGGGAGTCGAGATTGTGATACTTGTATGCTATGTTTGTGTTTGTGGTGGATTGTGATATACATTTGTATTATATATATATATTTGTGTGATATATAGTTATGTTATATATATATGATGTATATCTTGTTTGCAACGATGGAAGGCTTAAAAACAAAAAAAATGAATTTTTTCACTTCTTTGTCGAGTGTCATAACCATGACACTCGACAAAGCTGGGAATCTGGGACACTAAGCTTTCCAGCTTTACCGAGTGCCATGGTCAAAGCACTCGACAAAGAAAATTAAAAAAAATTGCTTTGCCGAGTGCCTACCTACAGCACTCAGCAAAGAAAATCCAAAAAAAAGAAAACAAGCTTTGCCGAGTGCCAGATGCAGACACTCGGCAAAGCATTTTAAAATAAAAAATAAAAAACACATTTCTTTGCCGAGTACCGACGCATGGCACTCGGCAAAGGGGCCGTCACCGTGACCTGGCCGTCACGGCGGCTTTTCTTTGCCGAGTGCCGTCGTGGCACTCGGGAAATCCTTTGCCTAGTGTCCGACATGTGGCACTCGGCAAAGAAGTCTTTGTCGTGAAGGGATATGCCGACAGCTCTTTGCCGAGTGCAGAGTGCAACACGCGTCTGCTGTAGTGATTACAGGAGCGCTTGCTTGTGCTCTGATGCATATAGATGTAGTGGCAGGCTGGCTGGCAATGGTGCTGGTGCACACATATTCACCTCACCTACAAATCATATCATATCATAAACAATAAAGACCCAGTCTGGGCAGTGCTACAGGACTTGTTATAGGGCTAGCTTTTGATCTCCATCCAATCCAAAGAGCATCACGCGTGAATGATGAATTCAGATGATTTATTTGCATTTTTGCTCTTGCTCCGATCCGCCTCTTCTTTTTTTCAGGGAGTGGGAGTGTCAGGGATAGGCTACGTGCTCATGAGCCATACTCAGATCATTTCTGCCGCAAGTCATCGACCTATTCATCCTCAACACCAACAACTCTCTACGACCTTGGCAGGTCACCTTTCTTACTTCAGATGGCAAAGATAAATAAGTATGCATGATTAGCCAAATCAACTTTGATATATTTGGTCCTTAACACATCATGCATGATTTATATTAGTCAGGGACAAAATATTAAATACAATATCATCCATCTAATGAGGAAAGAAGCAGAACAAATTAAGTAGTAGAATATGAATGACTGCAATGTCATCGGCACTAGACTAAGAATCGGCATATTTAGTTAACTGAAAGACAAGTTTTATTATGTCAGCAAGTGTATACAACTATCAACCAAAAAAAAGTTTTATGTCAGCATATAGCACTTGAGCGGCAAAATATGGGGACACATCAAAAGTCACTTGCGTGGTGTTAACCTGCAGTGCGATTGACTGCCATTGGGGGGCCTCTGTTTCCTTCCCTTCTCTTGAGGAAGAGCTAGCTGTTTGAGCCACCTACTACTGTCAGTTTTTCTTGACAAAATATGAGGAGAAGCAAGTCAATTCTTTTCTCGTTCGTCCTTCAAACGGAAATATCAAGTGGATTATAGTATATATTGCTGCAGCTATCTGATTTCACGTTGTATGTGCTATGCCCATGTGTTACGACAATTTTGTTTAAATAATTCAGTGCCAAGTTGTTACATACTGGTATCATTAAACTGCCATTCTAATCTATCCCCCTTCCTACTAATTTCGGCTTCAAACTTTTGACAGTGTAAATCCTACTAAGCACACAATGATGTTATAACAAAAGATATGAATGGATTACTAGTTTTTACCGCCCACCACCAAAGCACTAAATCACTGACTTAGCAATCAGGACCACGTGCACACTAACAAATGCACAATCTGTGACTGCTCAAGCTTAAAATGGCATCACTGTACCACTGCATCCGATTTGCTATGCTCTTTTTTCCTGTCAAGCACTGGCGGTACAGTTCATCAGGTGCAGATGCTGATCCACCTCAACTTCCTCAAGGGCAATGCTTTTGACGGTTGTTCTTTAGGACCTTTCCCCTTCCTGAAACTCATGTTTACAGATTTCAGCATTAACTATTTACAATATGGTGTCAACAGTACAGTTGTAGTAGTGCAGACAACTTGTATAATATATAGGTGAAGAATGATATAGAGAGGAAATATGGGTGATGCAAGAGCACACACAAGGTGAGCACCCTCCACTACCCCTTTTATAGAAGGGTGAGGATCTATAATAATCCACATACACATACACACCACCTGACTGTGAAGAGCTTTTCAATTCCCTGGAATTTTGTAAGTTGAGTGCATATCCAGCTTTTCTTCACTTTCTTGAAAACTTATGCAGTCAACAGTCACCATGCATAAAGCAGGAAAATATCAGTGCTTGGCTGAATCATGATGTTATAATTTCACTGGAGATCGAGCAACTAGGGATGCTCCTCATAGCATATACCTTTCTCCCTCAGAATGAATGAGAGCCGTCGCTTTAGTTTTCGTTCCGGGACATTGGTAAGTGGAAGGGCGCCAGCAGCCCATATATACTATATAAATGTAGTCCCATCCATGACTTTTGCAATATCAACATATATATAGAGAAGCATCTTACAACACATTGACACATCTAGTCATATACTCGTATTGTTGGGGACCGGGGATGCCACACTCACACATGGATGAGTGCAAGCCGTTGATGGCAATGCTGGTCTTCAACCTCATCTCTGCTGTGCTGACAGCGCTGGTGAAGAAGGCGCTGGAGCAAGGGCTCAACGCCCTGGTCCTCATCACTCTTCGCCAGTTGGTCGCTACTCTCTTCCTAGCGCCAATAGCCTACTTCAAAGAACGGTACATACATGGTTTGATATTCCCTAACTGATGCAGCTACACATATGTATGCTAATAATGTTCTTCTTAGCTGTGTTTTCCTTTTTCTTTAATTTCCTGCAGGAACACAAGGCCTAAGTTCACGCTAGAGATCTTTGTGTACCACTTCTTCAGTGCAGCGCTTGGGTACAACTAACACACATAGCTAGTATTATATACTAATATAGATATAGGATTATATTAGTATATCATTAGATTCTTCTTCTTCTTCTTAATGTGTCGTCCATGCACATGCAGTGCTTCCCTCTCGCACTACAGCTTCTTCTACGGGCTCAAGTTCACGACTGCGACGTTTGCCATAACATTTGCCAACGTGGCTCCTGTCCTCACCTTCCTCATTGCCATAGCTCTACGGTATGTATATGCTTAACTGTCAGTGGCCTTGGACTCTGAAACCCCAGCAGTGAACTAAAATGGATGCATATATCCATATATATCTATCTCCAGGGTGGAGTCGCTCAACATGAAGAGCAAAGCAGGGTGTGCAAAGATCCTCGGGACGCTCATGTCGCTCGGAGGAATGCTGCTGCTGAGCCTCTACAAGGGTGTGGCCGTGACACACCAGAGCAGTGGCACTCCTCCTGCTGCTGCTTCCTCTCAGCAAGTACAAGTAGAAGCAGGCAACGACGACAAGAAGATTTGGATGCTGACTGTAGCGTTACTGGCAAACTGCCTCTTCTTCTCCCTGTGGCTTCTGCTGCAAAGCAGGCTGACGAAGAAGTACCCGGCCCTCTACTCCAGCACCGCCTTCATGTTCTTCATCAGCACGCTGCAGGCAGGAGCACTGATGGTGACGATAGAGAGGCACGCATCGGTTTGGATCATCACAAAGAAGCTGGAGATCGTCACAATATTGTATTCGGTAAGATATATCATCTGATCGATGACCTTTATTTACACACACAGCTTAAAAACTTCTTGTGGTTATTAGGCGTAATAAATAAATTAAGCCCCAGCAGTTATCCCTATATAGTCATGGATGACAGGATCCACCATGATTGATGGTTATTATTTAACAAATTTATTAGGTCAAAGTTGCTTTCGGAGAGTGCCGTCAAAAAAAAAAGTTGCTTTCGGAGAGAGAGCTCGCGGTAATATATAATCGCAAGAAATCTGAGTGCCACACAAACGGTAGCATTTATAGCATCGCACGACCACAGTATGTCCAAGTGGAGAAATTCTGTCCTTAATTAGCATCTCTTCCACTAACCTTATTTTTAACAGAGAACTTCAGTACTGAAACTGGATAAGCTCAAAGATGCTAACTCCACTCGTCCACATAACCTTTCATGTTATGTATCATATGATTTTTCTCTTGGTGCCTCGTCTTTAATTATTTTCTTGGTGCCTCGTCATATGACTAGACTATCAGGTGTAACTAGTAATTAACGATTATGCAAGTTGCATTGATACATAGGAGTATGAAATAATCAAACTCAGAGAAAGGGAAATATTTTTTAAATTTTGAAACACAACAAATTTAGAAATATCTAAGTCTTTGTTGCATATATATATATATATATATATATTGGTATTATTAGGGAATCATGGCGTCTACAGCAGGCTTCCTGCTAATGACCTGGTGCGTCCATAAGAGGGGTCCAGTTTTCACTACAGCTTTCTGTAACACCCTCGGTGTTACACCGTAAATTATTTACTAAAACATGTCATGAGCATCATGTTTATGTGTTAATGCGTGTGATAAAGTGTGTAGATCAATTTCTGTAACTCGAAACGATCAACTAAAAGGCGAAACGAAAGTCGATTCGATAGTCATGTTATATCACTTAGGGTTCAAAACCAATTTTTATAAAGCAAAAATGCTATAGAACATATATGTGTCACCTTAATAAAGTTGGAAGTACAAACTTTGTAGGTGACAATGAAATACTTGTGGTCGAAAAATAATATTACTAGCTAATATTTCCACTAGCTTAGAAATCACAAATGGAAATCAAATTCAGCTCAAAAACTTAGAATTTTTAAAAGTCGACAACGAATGGATTAATTGCTATGTTTAGCAATTTACTGTGAGAGATTAGGTTAAGGAGTGGTGTAGTGTTATAGATCGATTTAGTAGTCTCATGTGCCATCTTGAGCATGGTGAAGATGGTTTAGGTCTTAAAGCAACCGTTTGGTCGTGTTGAACGCTTTAAAATTGATGCGTATCCTTTGTCTCGGTTTGGTTGGCGCGGGTGCGTGATCACCGTCTTGACCTCCCCACGCGCGCAAGACAGCACAAGACATGGCGTCTCTCGCGCGATCAACCCGTGCCGCCGCTGGGCTTGGCGGTCGAGGCTGGCCGCAATACGAGCCATTGGCCCAGCGTCTTGGCGGTCGAGGCGTGCCGCAATGAGCCGCTAGCCGCAGCGCCCGCTGCTGCGCATACTCGCTCATGCTGCCGTCTTGGTGCCGCCGTGGCGGCGCTTCTGTTGCTATTCGTCGCGTCGCGACCGCCGACACTACTCGCGTCGCGACGCTGTCGCTGTCGTTGCATTGTCGTCGCGTCCACGCTGATCCGCTGCACCTCTGCGCTGTTGTCGGCCCTGTGCGTGTCGCCTCGCCGCCACGCCCGCGCGACGGGTGGGGCCGCCGTCGCCATCCCATTTAAAGGCGCTGCATGACGCTACGCGGCCACGTCGGTCGACACGCGCACACGTTGTCCGTAGTGCCGCATGTGGGTCTCATGTTCCCGTCGCTCGCGTCCCGCCAAGGCGTGGACGAGCCGAGCCCACCTGCCATGTCGTCTCTCTCTTTCCCTCTTTCTCCCTCTGTTTTCCGCCGCCATTGCGTTGCGTCATGGTGAAGCCAGAGAGCGAGCACCTCTCATCAATTCCTCGTGCCCGCGTCTCCGCCTTCACGTCCCCTCTCTAGCCGACCCCACCCCGCCTTGACTCGCGTCACGCCAAGCTCCAATTTTGGAGCTTTGCCCACCGCCGTGCCGTTAAGGCTCGTCACCGTCCGCGCCGTGGCCAGCCTCCACCACTTCACCCCGCAATAATTCCCCTGCACCACTAGCTCGCCTTGGCTCCCTCTCCACCGTGTGCTCGCCCGGTGGGGAGCGCGCCGCCGCCTCCCTGCTGCTTGGCCGACGCGTGTGTCTGGCTGTGGCTTGTCGCCGTGTTTGCTTGCCAGCTGCATGTGGCCAAGATCGCTTTCAGTAGGCCCCGTTCGCGTGCCCTTAAACCCGGCTTGATCCGCTTATTTTTTTCATCCGGAACAGTGTTTTTCTCTCACAAATTCCTCTAGCATTCCTCCAAACCATCCAGATTCCTCCAGAATTCAGACAAGCGAATAGGCCCGTAGTCGCCTGCTGAACCACAACTTTGGCCTAGTTCGCGGTGTGTCCCTAGTGCTTATCCCCTATCTCTACGGTCTTGTTAGCGTTGTTGCTCACCAGAACACGGTTGCCGTCGTTGCAGGTCAGCCGCCGCTGGGGAGAGCCTGCTCTACTTCACCCTTGTTCGTGCCACCACCGCCCATCGCTTCGCGTCGAACCCAAGGTGAGCGTCGGCCTCGTAGTTAGGCCAGCGTAGGTCCCGTGTGGCTGACGCAAGCGCCAGTGGCACCGCTCGCCGCGCCGGAGCGCGCGGGGGAGGCCGGGGGCCTTGCCATTGTAAAGAGGAGAAAGATCCGAGGGTTTCATTGCAAAGTCACTGTCTATAAAAATAGTAACATGGACTGCGGGTTGTTTTGCTCATAGTCCAGGGGTGTTTTTGCTAATGTGCCAGCGAGCGCGGGATTCCCCCGTCGCAGGCCGCCTCGCGCAGTAGGCCGGCCTCGCGTGGGCTGCCGCGTGTTCGCGCACGCGCGCGCGTTGCGTCGTGTGGGCCGTGTTGGGCCGAAATCAGTTTAGCTTTTTCGTGGAGAATAGAAATAGCTTTTCATTTGTATTTCTGAGCTGATCTTTGGTAAATCATATAAAATCATGTAGGTATCCAAAAATTATGAAACCAATTTTGTTAAGTTTCTAAAATTATGCTCTATCTGTTAGTGTATTTAGTTCATATATATACCTATCAATACTAGGAGCTATTAAATCATTTGAGAATGTTTAATATTATTACGTTAAATATTGTAGGAATTTGTGGCAAAATGGTGATAGCTTTAGCTTTAAAAATTTTACAGTAGCTTCATGGTATTATTATGTGCTCCCTGTAATTTTTGTAGTTTTAGCATAGACTTAACATAAGGGTAGTTAAATGCTCTTTGTTTCAGATGTACATTAAAGCATTAGTAGAAATAAAGAAATATCCTTTATTTGTAATACTAGGTGTCTGTTAGTTGAACCCAACACTTTACTTGATGAAGATGATAGTTAGCTTAGTATCTTAGTCATTAGAGCTAGCTTAGTAGTTTACCATGTGTATTCTTATTTTAAGAGTTGTTATTGCCGAAATGCTAAGTGTTGCATCATCATCACATGCATGTAGAGAACGAGTTGGCGGAGATCGTGACCATCGGAGATCACGAGTTCGAGAAGGTGATCGAGGAGTATGAGGAGGAGATCTTCGTGCAGGAGGAGGTCCTAGAGCCGCCACTGACTGACTGAGCTGACATCCCGCCTGCCCAAAGCAAGCTCCGGTGCATAACCCTTATTTTGAATAATCACTGGATATATATATATATATATGTGATGTACATTACGTTACACGATTTATATTGAAACTATATGCATAGATACCTACCTATGAGTTATATTAGCTTAGGTCGAGTAGCTGCTATGCTTAGATTTTTTGGTAGCGTGAGTAACCTGCCGTTACTCACAACAGTGATTATTAAATATTACTCTCATGATTAAAATGGTGAAAGGAAATGGGAACCGGGCAGGAATATGGTACGGGTATTGGTGGGTGTAAGAGGTTGTGTCTCGTGGTCAATAGGGCATAGCTTGGTTACATTGTTTTCCCTATCCGTGTTAGTTAAGGACCAGCTGTTGCATTAGATTCTAGTCAGGTTACAGACTTATTATCCTGAGCACATACTTGCTTATGGGAGCGGGAAGGCTCGTTGCTCTCTTGTCGTGGGTTCCGGCTCTTTCTGGACCGGCTGATTGGAGGCGGGGATGGTGGAGGTCTAAGCACCACACTGAGCCCAGAACTCAGGTGTAGGGACTTGGAGTCCAAGTTTAGACGGGGACCTGGACCCCTTGACAGGAGAGTGGTGGGTTGGTCCTACTTGTGCCTGAGGTACAAGCGGGGCATGTGTTTCGGGGTACCCAGCTGGGCTACATTGATTCGCAAATCGCTGTGTAATACGGTATGACTTGTCTAAGATCTAACACCGTAGTAAGAACTGGAAGATGAAAGGGAATAAATGGATCTGATTGCTCAATTCTTGCTTGAAAGTAGAACATGTGCTTACATAGAATGGTTAGCTAATGAACTAATCATGACCACTAATAAAATACATACATAAGGATTCACTACTAGTATTGTTTTTTGCAAAAAGAAAATCCAGCAAACCATAAAATTTATCATATCCTTTGGAGTCGGAAAATTATTCTCACTAGTCGAGTAAGTCTTACGAGTATATTGTGTACTCATGGTTTATTTACCCATGTTGCAGGTGCAGCTTGAGGAGTAGCTGTTGTGTAGAGTATTCTTCTGGTGGGCAAAGACGGATCCTTGTATCTTATCGTTAGATGTTTATTTTAAATTCCGCTATTTAAATTCCGCACTCTGAACTTGGTTTTGTAATAATGTATTTATGAGAACTCTTGATGTATGAAATGGACTAAGTATTGTAAATTCGTTCTCATTATTGGATCCTGAAGGAAAAACGTGGATTGTTCGAGTTCTCCCTTGGGATGTGTTCGACGGAACCGTCCGATGTAGCTTGTTTTCGGGTGCTTAGTATCTGGTGGAAGATGAACGCACCCGGAAGCGTGCTATTTCGAGCGGTTCTGCTACACCTTCATCCCCATCATCCAGATCATGGTGGCCGTTATCAATTTCTTCTTCCTCCATGAGCCACTATATCTCGGCAGGTACTGTGCTTGCATATACGTATCAGTTCAGTTGTATGTACTGAGCATTCATGCATCTGCTATGTCCGAGCATGAAAAAGTTCTGAACTTTTCCCTTTCGAAACAAACAAACAAAATTCAAAAAACAGCGTTCTAGGATCCGTGCTGATGATATTTGGGCTCTACCCTTCTGCTGTGGGGAAAGAAGGATGCCGCGGCAGCATGCTGTAGTACAGATAGCAAGCATCAAGCAGATGATGAAGAGGCCGACATCAACAACAATAAGGAGCAACAAGTAGTGTGAAATCATAAGGATCACTATATATTATATACTACTGTCTGTGTGACTGTGTCTCAGAATATGTATGTAGCTTAATTAATTTTAATTTTTTCTTCATTTTTCCTTCCCTTTCCCAGTTAGTGACTACTTAATAATTACTGTAATGATGAATATGGAACACAGTAGCGTGCAAGTGTGCATTCTGGAGACTTTGTCATACTATATATTCCCTCCGTTTCAAATTATAATTTGTTTAATTTTTTTCACCTCAAGTTTGACCGCTTGTCTTATTCAAAAAATTTGCGCAAACATAGTCAAATTTAAGTCATTCTTGAAGAACTTTTGTTAATAAAGCAAGCCACAACAAAAGAAGTGATATTTAGCACAAATTTTTTAAAAAAGACGAGTAATCAAACTTGGGGTTACAAAAGTCAAACGAACTATAATTTGGAACGGATTTAGTAATATTCTGGAGACTAGAAATACTTCAATTCTAGTTAGCATCCAACATATTTCTTGGTGTTTGGGGATTTACCAAATGGCATTAAGTTTATATAATATATGTTATATAGTTTCATGCAGTTGGAATTAATGGTCAAGTCAAATAAATGATAAAACCGTATTTTGTGGCTGGTGGACCATGCGTGCCCACCGCGTCCAAATATCACCTTTTTATTCATTGCTTGCAGGGAATATATAAAATGCTTTAGTTCAGTCAGCAATCAGCAGTGTTGTTCCCATTATGCGTGCATAGCCTTAGATATATGGTCGATCTACCAGAAAAAGAAAAGTATTGGCGAGCATATAGTAAAGCCAATTGGGCACACCCAGTGCTCTACAATAGACAAATAGTAGTTGCATCTGTACTAAAAAGGATCTAATTCTGTATTGAGTTAAGCATCTTGACTTTGACCAAATGTATATATAAAAAGGTATAATAATTATGATACTAAATAAGTATCATTAGATTTTTTTCATTGACTCTATTTTAATAGTATGCATATATGGTGTCATAAATATTGATACTTTTCTCTATAAACTTAGTTAGTTTTACATAGTTCGATTAAGGAGAGAAGATTAAACTTCCATGTTTTTTGGGAGGGAGATAGTATATTATTAGGGTGAAGTTCACTTTTGGCCATCCAGCTTTTGTCCGAGAGATTGATTTTAACCATGAAACTCTAAAACCATAAATCTTTAATCGCTAAACTATTAATACCAGACAAATAATTTGACCATCTAGATCATTTTGACATGTGGTTTTGTATTCCCTGCAAATAAAAAATTTGTTTGTTTTCTAAATATTCATAACTAATTCATTTTAGCTTAGAAAACATTATATCAATATGATTTTTTAAAATATAAAATCTATCTTTTGGTGGGGTTCTATTTTGAGTGTTTTATTTGTTCCTATTTCTAGTGTTCTATTGCTTGTAATTATGTTCTTTACTTATTTAAATTGGAAAAAGTCTACGTAACCCCCTCAACTATTCAGGGTGGACTACTTCACCCCCCAAAGTATAAAACGGGATTTTCTACCCCCTGAACTTTCCAAAACCGGTCAAATAACCCCAAGCGTTTTTGGACGGTGGTTTTGCTACAGTTATGGTGATTTTGTCTTTTTCTTTTTTATTTATTTCTGCTGAACCTTTAAAAAATCATAGAAAAATAATAAAATAAAAAATCCAATTTTGTTGGACTCCGCATGAGTAGATCTACACAGTAAACATATAATATAGTATTATTTAGTATAAAGTTTTTGTTGTATCTTTAGATCTATGTTTTTTTATAATTAAATGGAATAATTCATAGTTGCAGCTTCTATAGTCCAATTGTGGTGGAATTTTTATGGTGGGCTAATTATTGTATGCTTGAATTATAGTAAAAATTTCATACTCATTGGATCATATATAACTTAGTTATAGATAAAACATAGATTTAACAAGGATAAACCTAATTATCATTTTCTGCTCTAAGTCATACTCGAGATTGACCAAAAGAATCCACAGCAGACTACAGGCGAAGAAAAGATTTGGAAAATGACAACAACCTCGTAGGTGCCATATGCTCCAACCACATATAAATTGTATTTAGCCACTACAACTAGTATGGCATCACTAACCATTACTTAATTTGGTAAAACAACTTCTCCCAGTACACTGGAAGAAGGAAGCTAGAAAAAGCTGTATTTTCAGCTCCATTTAGTTCCCACTCCTGTGAGAACTGGTTTTCAAGAACTTCACATATTTTATTTTATCCCATTTGCCAAACGGAGCCTAAAGAAGAAGACCTAGCTTAGCTTAAAATAGCAGCAGTTGAAGCATTCAACGATGGATGGATGGAGCTGAGGCGCGCATGCAGGTGCGGCGGAGGGGCCGGGGGGATTGGAGCTTGCGATCGAGGAGGAAGAGGAAGAAGAAGAGGTCGTGGACCGTCTGTCCATCAGGAGCTTGATCGAGAGTGATCTCTCATCTGCATGCATGCATGGCAATGGCAATGCATGGGCAATAATATTCCTGCAACGGCAGGCAATGGCATGCACCACCGACGCCGATGGGCTCATCCCATCCCATACATCCATGGAAATGGAAGCATATATAGCTAGCGAGGCTTGCTCCCCGCCTCTCACTTGCCTCCGATCCTCCTCCATATCTGCCCGCAGCTCCCTCCATCGTCAAGCCTTCCGATCGATCGATCGATCTATTATATCCTAGTAGTAGTTGGTTCGTTCGATACCATCCCGTGCAGTAGTAGGTCGACCTGATCTGTCTCTCTCTTTCTAGCAGCAACAAACAGCAGCAGGCACAGGTGCAGTGCACTGCACTGTAGATAGTAGATCGATCGTCCATCCAAGCTAAGTAAGTAGGTCGAAAATGGCGATGATGGGTACTACTCGTGGCGGTGGTGACAGCAGCAGCGGCCGGCGTGTGCTGGTCCTCGGCCTCTGCCTGCTGCTGCTTGGTGTTGCGCAGGCGCAGGCGCAGGCAGTGGAGTTTGAGTTGGTGCCTGATGCTGGTAGCATTGATCCGATGATGCTGCCTACCATGGATGGTGAGCCGCCGCGGGAGTGCGCGACCCCGGTGAGCGTGGAGGAGGCGTGCCGCGGCGCGTCGGAGACGCACGCCGGTGTGGACTACGACCACTGCATGGCGTCGCTGGGCGCCGACCCGCGCAGCAAGGAGGCCGGCAACAAGAACATGCACGGGCTGGCGATGCTGGCCACCAAGATGGCCATCGACCACGCCGCCAGCACCGAGTCCAAGATCGACGACCTTGCGGAGCTGGATGCGGAGGCGGAGTTGCCGCAGGCCCGCCGCGCCCGCTTCAACCACTGCCTGGAGCAGTACGGCGGCGCCGCCGACCTCCTCCGCGACGCGCTCGACAACCTCAAGGCCAAGATCTACGGCAAGGCCATGGAGCAGCTGACCGCCGCGATGGGCGCCTCCGAGAGCTGCGAGGACGCGTGGAAGGGCGAGGAGGAGCAGCACCGCGTCCCTGTCGCCGCGCACGACAGGGAGTACGGACGGATGGCGCACATCGCCTTCGGATTCACACACGCCGCCGCCGCATGAATCATATCAATCATCATGCATCCATGAACGCTTCTCTTCTTCTTGCATCCATCCAACATCCATCATCCATCATGCATCCGGCCGGCCGGCCGGCCATCATCTCCGTCGACTCGCCGGATCGATATGATCCCTTCTTGCAAGCATGCGTGCTTCCAATGACATACATATATATAGTAGTATATTCATATCTCCATTATATATGCATCCATCTCTGCTAGCTCTTGTTGCATGCATTGGTTCCTTCATCATACATTCCATGATCCTATAGTATAGTTGCCGGCCGGGCTTGGTCGACCATGTATGCATTGATGCATGCTTTCGCTATATATATCTCGAGCAACAAGGCGTACTATCAATTATACATTCTAGTAATCATCGATTGTATTTATTTTTGTGTGATTTTCTTTTTTTTTTCTTTATGTATGTGCTGCTGTTGGATACGTATATGTTGTAGGGTCTCCTCATCAGATGAAGAGAAACACAAGGAATAAAAAGCCTTATTCATTTATTATTAATCAGTTGTTCATCATCAGTTTTTTAGAGAGATATATATCTGTTGATATGTTTTATTTATTATTTTTCTGTTCTTTACATGTATGCATACTTTTTTCGGCAGCACTAGCGTCCAGACGTCCGGACGGACCCCCCGCGTTCAGACGCACGCGCCTGCTACAACGCCCGTACCCGTGCCTGTTTCATGCACAGGTGGGGCCCGCCCGTGCCACTCCCCATGCTTCCCTGCTTCCCGCGCCCACCACTCCCCATGCTCCTCCATGCCTGCTGCGCCACTCCATGCACGGCGCCCCAGTAGCCTACGGCAAGTGGCTCACATTGCAACATGCACAACACCCCGATCTACTTTTAAAACATCAAAATGAAACAATTGCAACATTAGTACGAACAGCTAAAACATTCAAAATATGCGCTTGAAACACATGCAAAAACACTTGAAAACAATTGCAGACATATGCAACATCTAGATAAAACACTTGCAACATATGTGTGAAATATGCAACATCCAGATAAACACACTTGCAACATACGTCTGAAAAAACATATGAAACAATGCACTACCGGATACAGGACCTTTGCCAAGTGCCAGGGGCACTCGGCGAAGCCCCAAAAACACTCGGCGAAGGGTTTGCCGAGTGTTACACTTGGCAAATGACACTCGGTAAACGTTTTAACGGCAAACGCTAGTTTGCCGAGTGTTTTTTGTCTCGCATTCGGCAAAGACATTGCCGAGTGCCAAAAAAACACTCGGCAAACTTTGTTTTTGAAAAAAAAAATAAAAATGCGCCGCATTCGCTGCTCCCCTCGTCCATTTCCATCCGCCGCCGCCCTCTGCTTCCCCTTCCTCCCACCACGCCGTCCCCACTCGCCGCCGAGCCCTCTACACCGCACGATGCCTCGCCGTGCAGCGCCACCAGCAAAGCCGCCTCCTCGAGCCGCTCGCCACAGCGACGTCGTCATCCGCGACCATCGCGGGCTCCTACTCCGCCACGCCGCTGAGCTGCGACGCCCTCGCCGCGGCCACCTCTGCTCGCCGTCACTAGGAAGCCATGGTGTCGAGCCTCCACCGTCGTGCCATCCACCTCGACGAGCCTCGCCCAAGCCCATCCTTACCAGCGTCGCGCATTGCCCGCTCCTTCCTCGTGGAGCTGCGAACGCCGACGAGCACGCCACCGGATCCGCCGCTCCTCCCTCTGCCACCACCACCACGCCCGTCACCATCGGATCTGGAGAGGGAGGGCCGGGAGGGGGCGGCACAGCCGGATCCGGGAGAGGGAGGGCCGGGAGGGGGCAGCGCTGCCGGATACGGGAGAGGGAGGGGGCCAGGAGAGGGAGGCGCCGGATCTAGTGAGGGGAGGGCGGGCCGTGCCGGCGAGGGAGGAGGGGAGGGCGGGCCGCTCCGGCGAGGGAGGAGGGAAGGGCAGGCCGCGCCAGCGTCGGAGAGGGAGGAGGGGAGGGCTGGGCCACGCCGGCGCCGAGAGGGAGGAGGGGGTGTCGCGTGCGCGTGTGCGGAGAAGGGGAGGGGGCGTGCGGACGCGGCGCGGGGAGAAGGGGAGGGGGCCGTGCGGGGAGAAGGGTAGGGCGTGTCCGCTGGGGCCGGTTAAAAAAATATTTTTTTCCTTTGCCGAGTGTCCTAGATCTGGGCACTCGGTAAAGTTTTTTCCAATTTTTTTCTTCTCCTTCTTTCTCAGAAAAAATATTTTTTTTCCTTTGCTAAGTGTCCTAAATCTGGGCACTCGGCAAAGTTTTTTTTTCATTTTTTTTATTCTCCTTGTTTCCCAGAAAAAAGATTTTATTTCTTTACCGAGTGTCCTGGATCTGGACACTCGGCAAAGTTTTTTTTTCTTCTCCTTCTTTCCCAGAAAAAAGATTTTACTTCTTTACCGAGTGTAAAAAAACACTCGGCAAACCCTATCTTTGTCGAGTGTTTTTTTTGACACTCGGCAAACCTCCTCTTTACCGAGTGTTTTTTTTTTGCTGAGTATTTTTAGCGCAGCACTCGGCAAAGAGCTTGTGTTGCCGAGTGCCCGAGAGAATACACTCGGCAAACATAAAAACACTCGGCAAATTTGACGTTTCCGGTAGTGTTGGGAACAGACACTTGCAACATAAGTGTACAAACATTGCAACATATGCAACATCCCGATCTACTTTTTTGCAACATCCGCATGAAACACTTAAAACATACATACGAAACATGTGAAACACTTGAAACATGCGCTTGCAACATGGGGGAGCCCGGAGCTGGGCGATTCCGGCCGTCGCCGGCGCCGCGTGAGCACCACCACCACCACCATCGCTAGCAGCACTGGGCTTGGATTGATCAGGTGGGCGGCGCGCGACGGTGCGGGAACGAGCGACGCGCGCGGCGGCGCTGGATGAGTGAGCGGTGCGGGATGGGCACGCGGCAGCAGCGAGGCGGAGTGGGCGCGTGGCGTCTGGACGAAAGGCCGCCGCGTTGGAGAAGGCCAGCGGCGGGCGGACGACACGGTGGATGCGCCCGCGGTCGCATGCGTGAGGCAGTGGGGAAAGAAAATGTCATTGTAATTTTTTTATTTTTTTGGAGAAACCGCGTCGTACTGAAGGTGGAGCGGAGAAGGCCTGCTAGGCCCCCATCGTTGGGCAGGCCAGGGAACGAGCTGTCCGAATAGAACACGCCCGGACGGACGCACGTGTGCCAGCATTATCACTTTTTTTTTGTGAAACACACATTACAAACGCTAGAACTTACACTCAACTCTGCCACCCTAACGTTTCAAAAAAAGAAGAAAACTCTGCGACCCTAATGAACTTTCAATTTTCATTCGAACTGTTGACTGCCCACAGTCCACAGAGTTTGAAATTGTCATATTCTTTTTTGTTTCTGTATCATGTGTAATTTTTGTTTCAGTTTTAACTGAAATATCTTGTCTACCGTAGATACGTACAATTCTGGATAATTTGAATATCCTATTTATCAATGTTTTTTTTTTGTGATACCAAGTAAAGAAATTAAAACCAAATAAAACAAAACATGTTGTCTTTTACTGAAAGAATAATTAAAGATAATCCATTAAAACAAATCAATATTGAACCCACATGGATGTGTGTTCCACCGCAAGTGACCTAGCTCTAATTGATCCTACTACCGTGGTTGCACAACAAACTCTGCATTTATTCAGTTGCATGCAAATGCAATCCTATCGAGGGAGATTCGCAAGGAGAAAATTGCAACGACCTTGAGCAACAAACGATCCAACAGGATGCTTGCACGCTTGAGCGATCGACCTTGGCTGGGATCGGAGCTAAGCTAGGGACAAAGCACCAGACACATGACCCTACTGTTTTCTTCGGTCGGGTCCTCTTCAAATTAATTTGCCGATCCATTAGTATTCGTGCAAATGCAATCATTACTCTGCTTTGGCAGCTTAATTTGCTTAACGACGTAATACATATATTATATATACTACTCCCTCTATTTCATTTAAATTATAAGATGTTTTGGCTTTTTAGATACCTCTTATAATTTGGAATGAAATATATTTGTCAAGTTGAACGAAACCATACTTATCCAAACCAACAAGGCAAATGCCAATAAGGAAGGATCCCGTTTTCTTTCGCTATCACCACACCAGGCCGGCTCACTTGTCACACGTCACAAAATTCGAACCTCCCTACATTATTTAAAAAAAATACTTGTTTGCTGTCCACCAAAGTTATATATGCACGGGACTCCAACAAGTAGCAGATGATAGTAGCTAGCATGCAATTGCAATGTACTATCACAATTCACAAGATGCCACCACCACCACCTTGCTATTGCTCCTCTGTCTCTGTTCCATTTTTCTTCTCCTCCTTGATAACAATAACAATCCTCCTCCTACAACAGAACAATCCCTCGGCTGCAGCTGCAGCTTCAGCCATGGCCACCACCAACACAAAGTTTGGGCCGTCGCAGTTGACTGACGTCGTAACCGACACCTGCGAGAGATGCAGCCAGGGCAACCCACAGGTGAACTACACCCTCTGCGTCTCATCTCTGTCGTCGGACCCCGAGAGCAGGCAGGCGGACCTCCACGAACTCGCCATGATCTCAGCCAAGCTGGTGAGGTCAGGCGCGGTGGGCATGGAGGCCAAGATGGCGGAGCTCAGCAGGAAGGAGAGGCCATGGTCTCCCCGGAGGTCCTGCCTGGAAGCGTGCACGGGGGTGTACCACAACTCCCTGTACGACCTCGACAGCTCCATTGCAGCCATCGAGGAGAGGAGGTATGCGGACGCCAAGACATCCATGAGCGCCACGATCGACGCGCCCGTCACCTGTGAGGATGAGTTCGAGGAGCAGGGCTTGGAGCCACCCATGAAAGCAGAGAGCAAACACCTGTTTCAACAGGCGGTCATCACCCTCGCCATCATCTCCCTTCTATGATACATACAGTACTGCTACTACTGTGCAACTAGCTAGCTAGTGCAAACTCCAATATGATATATGTTTATCAGCATGATATTAT